AGTGTGGGGGGGGGGGGGCATTCTCTCTTTCTGGCACTCCTTTCTTCTTCTTCTTCTTCTTCTTCTTCTTCTTCTTCTTCTTCTTCTTCTTCTTCTTCTTCTTGGGGTAGGTCAATCTTCTCCATTGTCCTCCTTACCCGCAGATAATGGGGAGGGGGCAGGATTTATTTTGCCAGAGATCCAAATCTATTACTTGCAAAGGACGTTTAAGGCACATGAAATGAAGTTGGGGGCCACAGGATATCCACTTCCATCTTACAAAAACCAACAATCTCACTTCATAACAAAGATGAATCTGCTACAGCCAGAATCTGCATCAGCTTGGTATTTTCCAACCTGGCAACTTTGTGTGGACTTCAACTCCCAGAATTCTTAGTAAATGCCCACTGGTTGGAGAATTCACACATGTGAATGTGTGAAGTTCATACATTTGAAAATTACCAAGTCTGAAAACACTGATTTAGTGTATGCACTATCATTATTACACTATATTGAAAGGATGGGAATTCCATTACAGTGTTGTGCCTCAATATTCCCAGGGCCTTCTTTACCCGTAACTTCATTATTGATTTGCCTTAATTTCAGGTGTTAATTACAGTTTTGGACATCAATGACTGCCGGCCCCAGTTTGCCAAAAAACAGTATAGTACCAGTGTATATGAAAATGAGCTAGCTGGGACCTCTGTAATCACAATGACTGCTGTTGACCTTGATGAGGGAGACAATGGAGTGGTGACCTTCAATATTGAAGGACCTGGAGTCGGTGCGTATCTCCAGCAACAAAGAAAATATCTGTCAAGAGGGATGAAGGACAAATCCTAGCAATCTTAATGGTTCAAACACTAGCTGCATATTTTTCAGTTTATCAAAAGTAGTCAATTTATGACTGCACAGATGCAGATCAATGCACTGTAATAATTTATGCATTGTGTACTTATTAGTATTACTAAGGTAAATTTTGCCTGACGGTTGCAACATGCAAAGTGTTTTGTGATGTCTATGTTGCTTTCCTTCGCCATAATTCCTAATTTGCAAATAAGCCATTGAGAGTTGGTGGCAGGCCTTTCCAGAAGATCCCACTGGCTTTGTCCTTCTCTCCTGCATTTACTATTTCATTTCGGATGCAGCACAGATGCAATGGCATGAAACATAATATTTCCCTAATAACCAACCAGTTGAAAGTGTCTTGGTAGAGAGGAGCAAGCTTCTTTCTTGTGCTGTACAGTGCCTTGAACAGTCAGCCTCCATTCCTGGTTAGAAAACGGCTTATGAAAGTTCTCCATCTGATCTGCATTCATGTCCTGTTGTAAAGACGTAAAAGAGCCCTCTCCCCTTGAAAAACCACACTTGCCCTCCAGTCAGTCTTCAGAGGGGTTCTCTTCTTTTCACTGGAACTAATTTAAAGCCTTGCAAGGAGGGGTTTTTCTGGACCATATATGAATGATGACAATCAATTCAGAAATATATTTCCTCACTCCCAATTTACAATAAAAATCAAAGGATTTGTTGAATGAAAGAACAGAACAGCAGGGAGGACAACTTAGCCAGTCAGTACAGTTTGTCAAGTGTTGCTTTTTAAACGTTAAAAATGTAGTATTGGTTTCCATCTTTCCATATGAATAGTATCACTTCAGAAGGTGGCAGATAGAGCAACCCAAAAGTGGGATAACTTTTTCCAAAAAATCTATCTTTATGATGGTCAGTTAAACTTGCTATTATGGGGATTCAGTGTATTGTTAGAATGGTTATTTGTGCAGCAACATTTAACACAAATGCCTTGTTATATAGCATTATAGCATGCTTTGTTTGCATATTAATTCATTCTTTTAGTAGCTCCAGGCTTCCAGCATGTTTCTTGTTTATGCTGTGCCATTAACAACAAAAAAGGCCCCTGCAAATCATTCAGGGAGGTGCTTCACTTGCAAGCAAAACAAGCCACTGAATCTGAAGCAGAGATGGCCACTCAACTGCTTTGAAGGTCATGACTGAACATGCATCAATCATATCACCTGGAGGTAT